GTTTTTTTACTGCCTTAATTGTTTTCATTCCAAGAAATAAAAATAAAAGTGATATTTCATACAGGAATGACTCTTTTGTTTCATTGTTTGAATTATATTACAAAGCATTAAAAATAGTAAAATGAACAAGATAATAATTAGATTTGAATCCGATAGTAGAGTTTAAAACTAATGAATAAAACACCGTACCTCGTAGGGGTGTATTCAATCATGATTTTTGTAGAATTTTAAATAATTTTATAATGATAGATTTTAATAAACTTTGATTGGCTTTCATAGAGTCGTTCAAAACTTTTTATAAAACTTTATAAGACTTTATAAAAGTCTATATAAAAAATATTCATAGACTTTTATCAACTTTTTTATTTTAAAAAGTCTACAAAAGTCATTGAAATTCTAAATTGAATACATCTTTACAAAACATTTATAATATATTATAAAATTTTCTTATTATGTAGTTCTTCACCCACATCAACATTCTCAACATTATTATTTTTATCCATAGTATGTTCAGACTTATATGCTAATTACTTATATATATTATTAGTAAACATAAAAAAAAAATTATTTCATTAGAAATTCATAACAATATTGAATAATAAAATTTATAATAAAATAATTGATCAAATAAAATATTTAAAAATATAATTACAATTTGTATAAAATAAAAAAAAAATCTAATATTTATAAAATATATATATATATATATATATATATATATATATATATATATATATATATATATATATATATATATATATATATATATATATATATATATATATATATATATATATAGAATAAAAATCATATAGGAACTCATTGTTAGGTAGGAACGTGGGAACCAATCTGGGCCATTTATTTGAATCCATCTACGGTGCGTATTTAATTGTTTTTTTAGTTTTGTATTTCGCGTTGTTATTAAATCTTTGGGCGTGTAGGGGGTAGTTTGGTCACTTCAATCAAGCGTGCGTGTGGATGGGGATATAATAATCTCTGAATTTTCGCAGTCTTCGTTGTGCTGGAGTCCAATACCGTAGGTTGTAGCTGTTTGAGTCCTTCCCATAGTCTTCATCATCGATCGAAATTCCCGTTGATGGCTGGCACCGTTGCTCGGAACCCTAAGCGCCCACGGCCGGCGACCTCGTCGACCTCTGCTCCAGGTCGGTTTTCGGGTTTTTCTATTTTTTATTTTTAAATGGATTTCATATTCTTATGCGTACAATTTGTTGTTTTTTATTTGGATGTATTTGGGTTGTGGACAATGTGTTGTTTTTGTGGGTTGGTTTTTGGGAGTGGTGTAGGGTTTTGGTTGGGGGATGTTGCCGGTGACTGTGGTGGCTGGGGTTGTTGCCGTGTTGATTTTGGTAGGGGATGGTGGGTTTTGGTTGGGGTGTTGCTGGGTTATTTTGGGAGTTTTTAGGTTAGTGTAGCTTGGTGTTGGGGGGAGGGGGACGGTGTTACTGGTTTATGTGTTTTTTTTTTTTTTTTTTTTTTTTTTTTTTTTTTTTTTTCATGTGGTTTTGTTTTATGTTGGTGTTTGGGAGTGGTGTTTGGTGTTGGCAGTGGATGTGAGCTTGCTGGCCGTATGTGTGTGGGAGGGGAGGGTGGGTTTTGGTTGGGGGTGTGGTGGGGGAGGGTGGGCGGTGTTGCTGCTGTGTGTGTTTTTTTTTTTTTTTTTTTTTTTTTTTTTGGTGGTGGTGGTTGTACTCATAACTCACTAGTGCTTCAATCCAACCTCTACATGGTCATTTCTGTTAGTTGCAAATGGTTTAGTAATCTTGTTAGTTTTCAACAGTTTTCAATCGTTCCTGGTCTTTGTATATGTAATTTTTATGTTGATAGTAGTTCGTAATCTATTTCTTCTTAGTGGCATTTGTAGTAGTGTGACGTTGGACATATTTTTATCAATTTTTGAGTTTTGAGGTGTCCGCTTTTTACATCGTCAGTCGTTTCTGCGTTTGTTTATTTATTGGTATTAATATTTTTTTCAAAGTTAATATTTAGCAAGTACATCTGTCATTCCTTGAATAATTCTCTGATGTGCAGTTCTGTTCGTACGTGTGTGCCTTTTTGGTGTTTGAGGTTGGCTCGTGTTAAATCTGTGTGCCTTTTAGTGTGATCGTGTGTGCATTTGTGTGTTTGATGTGTTGTCGTTTGTTTTCTTTTTTCCAGAGGTACAGCCTGCGGCGGTGGCACCTGGGGCGATGGTTGATGATGTTGAAGTTTCTGAGTATGAGTTAACTCTTGAGGAGGCGGGTCGTTTCGAGAGTATGCAGACGAGGTGCTCTGCACGCATACTTGTCAATGCTTGTAAGAAGTTCTCACGCCGGCAACGTAGTGCAGTGTGTGATTTGGGGTTTGGGAAGCTATTACACCTAGAGGTTATGGAGACTCCTGGACGGATGGGGCGTTGGCTGCTGGAGAATTTCGACCCCGCGACGATGTCTTTGCGTTTGGGAAATGGTGTCATGTTGCCTATTCGTGAAGAGGATGTAGAGGCAACGCTTGGGCTTCCTAGAGGTCGCGTCACGATTACCAAGCGTGGCAACAATGATGTTAGTGACTTTTTGCTGCTTTGGAGGGCCGAGTTTGGCACAACGTCACATGACATTACTGCTAGCCGTATCGCGTTAAGAATTGGTCGTTTGCTAAATGGGGGCAAAATGGAGTTACCTCGTTCTGCCGGGCACACTCTATTTATAACATGTGCACACTGGCCAGTACAGCCTATTTTCTCCAAAATCAACTTCCAAAGCGGTTCTGATTTATTGAATTAAGGCCGGCATGTATATGAATCTGTTTAAACTGGTTTTTAGACAATTATCCATACACGAATTGGCTAATAAAGAATGAAAATTTAAATGTAGGTGAAAAGTTCATGATGGCACACAATGTTGGTCTCAGGTGCTTTCCCAGTTTTTTGTTTTTTGGTCGGTACTTAAGAGGATGATTATGGAGTATTTGGGTGATTTTGTTGAATCGAGTGCTTTGTATGCTGTGGCACACTCTGTTATTTTTAGTTGCTCGAATAGACTAATAGCGTTTGACGATTAAAATGTAGTGTAGGAGTTCTGGATGGCACAGAGTTTTGGGGTTAGGTGCTCAGTGGAAGTGCATGGGTTTGGTACGTCACTCATGTTTTCCCGTCGGCTGTTCTTTGGGTGCCTATGCATTTCAGCATCGTGGGGGGTGCCTTTTTGGGCAAAATGGAATTACCAATTCTGCCGGGCATACTCTATTTATAACATGTGCACACTGGCCAGTACATCCTATTTTCTCTAAATTCAACTTCCAAAGCAGTTTTGATTTATTGAATTTAGGCCGCCATGTATATTACTCTCTTTAAACTGGTTTTTAGACAATTATCCATACACGAATTGGCTAATAAAGAATGAAAATTTAAATGTAGGTGAAAAGTTCATGATGGCACACAATGTTGGTTTTAGGTGCTTTTCCAGTTTTCTGTTTTTTGGCCGGTACTTAAGAGGTTGTATATGGAGTATTTCGGTGTTTTTGTTTGAATTGAGTGGTTTGTATGCTGTGGCACACTCTGTTATTTTCAGTTGCTCGAATAGACTAATAGCGTTTGAGGATTAAAATGTAGTGTAGGAGCTCTGGATGGCACATAGTGTTGGGGTTAGGTGCTCAGTGGCAGTGCATGGGTTTGGTGCGTCACTCATGTTTTCCCGTCGTCTGTTCTTTGGGTGCCTGTGCACTTCAGCATCGTAGGGGGTGCCAGTACAACCTATTTTCACCAAAATCAACTTCCAAAGCAGTTCTGGTTTACTGATTTTAGGCCGGCATGTATATGAATCTGTTTGAACAGGTTTGTAGTCAATTATCCATACACAACTTGACTCATACAGTATGGGAATGGTACTGTAGGTGAAAATTTCATGATGGCACACACCGTTGGCCTCAGGTGCTTTCCCAGTTTTCACTAATAAAGCATGAAAATATATCTGTAGCCTTGGTCTGTCTGTGCACTTCAGCATCGTAGGGGGTGCCGTTGTGGGCAGAGTGCCGTGAACTCTTTCCGTTGGGCACACCCTAGTTAGTACATGTGCACACTGGCCAGTACAGCCTATTTTTTCCAACATCAACTACCAAAGCAGGTTGGGCACTTCAGGGTCATTGTGGATGCCGTTTTTACCAAGATTGGCTGTAATCAACAGGTGTGGCACAGTCTTCTTATTGCAAGTGCACACTGCCTAGTACTATCTCTTTTCTCCCAAAACCAATTCTTATGACAGTTTTGATTTAATGAATTCATGCCAACATGTATATGACTATATTAAAACAATTTGGTAGACAATTATTCGTACACAATTAGACTAATAAACAATGAGTGAAAAAATGAATTGTAGAAACACTGAATGGCACACACTGTTGGAGTAAGGTGCACCATCAAAGCACGTGGGGGCATTCTGTTAGGCCGGGTTTGTCTGACTCTTTTTCTTGGTCTTCGATCGGAGCTCGCAGTTGCGGCTGTCATGGTGGCCGTATTTGTTACAAGTCCTACATTTCCTGACATCCTTGGCAGCTATTTCTGATGCAATCTCCTTTGATGATTTCAATCTCTTCCCTGAACCTTTGTTCTTTGCAATGGCGGGGGGGTGAACCGTGATGTTCGGTGATGAGGTAGACCCACAAAAGCTACGAATCATACCACTCTTCTGCGCTTTAGCTTCCACTTGGTGCACGCTTTCCATTGATCTTTCCCTATGTTCTTTCAGTATTTTTCCTAACTCTGTTATTCTGTCGGTGTTGCCATACGCATACCCCACACACTTGAAGAACTCATCAAATACGGTACCCATTCGTGTGTTCCCTCCAATAGCTTCGGTAGGACTACCCAGTTCTGGGTTTGCATACAGCTGTGCGTGTGGCCAACAAGAACTGCGTGTCCATCGGGGAATGATATATTGTGCAGGTATTCTCTCCAAACGTGCGTCCTTAAAGGTCAAGAACACATGTCTGCATTGTAGACCAATCCTTTAGAACATATTGCATGAGCATTTTGCTTTCCCCTCTATATGATTGTATTCCACAGAATGGAACACTGTGTTCGTGTCCTCTATCAGCAATGTGGTAGTGCTTCCTTCAACTGTTTTGTTAACAACTTGGGATGAGAAGCAGGCTTTCACTATCTCTTTTTGGACATCATAAAAAACAGCAATTGTATACGTTGCAGCAGCTTGGCGTTCTAGCAATATAGGCGTTTTCAACACTGGGAACTTGTCCTCACAATTTGCGTTTAGTTGTGATTGGTTGTGGCGTTGTTTGTCTATTGCTTTTTCAAATTGAATGAAGAACTGCGTTAAACTGAAATGGGGAGAAGTGCAGTTGCTGAATACGTTGTTCTCAGATTCTGACCTTGAGGTTGTTCTAATTAAGCCACCCATGAATACGTCGTTGAAGAATGCTGGTATCCAATGATCACGTATCTCGAACAGGTGGGTAAACCATTTGTGCTCAACTAGATTGTGTTTTTCCATCACTGTTTGCCAACCTGTTTCAAACTCCCTAATTGATTGCGTCTCACTCCAAACCACATCGTTGAGGCTTTTTAGGAAATCTTCATTACTCGCTAATGTTGGCCCTACCTTCTCACAAACCTTTGTCATTATGTGCCACATGCAGAATCTGTGGCGTGTTGTATCAAAAACTCGTGCTATTGCGACTCTCATTGCGGGGTCTTGGTCAGTAACTGTGCAGGCTGGTACTTTACCCATGGCATTTTTGAAGTGTTCTAGCAACCAGGCGTAGGAGTCCACATCTTCTCTGGTAATTAATCCGGCTGCGAATGTCACGCTCTTCTTGTGGTGGTCAACCCCCGTGAATGGCACAAACACCATCTTGTACCTGTTAACATCATATGGTGTATCAAATTTTACTAATAAGTTGTGTGTTGGAAGATGGAGAAACTACCAAACTTTGAACTCTTCGTTACTGCACAAAGTTGGCAACACGACGGCACATCAGTCCATTCTGCTATGCATTCTGGGCTGCTGTGTGCCGGCTGGACTACCCCCGTGTGCCAAATAAGGGAGATGTAGGATGTGGGGTGTACCTGTTTGTACTGTATGTGGCGTCGAAGGACATAACATCACCGAATAGTTTGAAGTTGTGGCGAGCCTGTGGGTCTGCCCAAAAAATTCTGCACAGTTGGTCAAGTTCATCAACATCATGGGCAAAGTAGAAGTCAGTTGACACTTCTTTCTTTGCCATGTACTTGTCAAGCACTAGTTGGGCATCTGCACCTTCAATGTATGCCATTATATCTCTTTTGAAATTACCAAAATATGTTACTGTAGCGCCAACGTTTGCAAACCCTCCCACCATCTCTTCGTATAGTGTAAAGGATTTGTTATACCCGATATTTGCCTTTGCACAATTGATGATGAAGTTTTGGTGCCCAAGGTCAAGCTTCCGGTTTGCCTTCATGAAGGGCCTAGAAATTGCTGTGCGTAACAAGTGGTTATGGCGTTCTTCTATTGCATAAACCTCATAACCATTATTGTCCTTCGCTCTCTTGAATATTATTCTGGCGTTGCACCCCACCCGATTTGTGACACGTCGCCTTTTTGTTGGGGCATTGTCTTCAACCATTGCCACGCCTACCCCATCCCTTCGCCAGTAGGGAGTTTGAACCCAGCACGTGAGCACAACACGTACTTCGACGTGATTTGCCCTTGCCTATCCGTCTTCTCGGAAGCACGCCGCACATCAAACCCAGTAGTAGTGGCGTAAGTTTTGTAGAATTCAATTCCTCCTTCTAGAGTAGCGAACACCTGTCCAACGAATGGCTTTTTACCCTCTTCACACTCTGGAGTAAAGTAATTCGTTTCTCCAGGAGATATATTCATTGAGCAACCGGTGTATGTCCCTAGTAAGCCCGCCTCACCTGTCGGGGGTTGCAAAATTGTTAGTTCAATATGTGGTTCAACAGTGTGGCACAGAGAATATTACCAACGTGCACACAAAAGAATTAGTTCAATATGTGGTTCAACAGTGTGGCACAGAGAATATAACCAACGTGCACACAAAAGTATTAGTTCAATATGTGGTTCAACAGTGTGGCACAGAGAATATAATCAACGTGCACACAAAATTATTAGTTCAATACGTGGTTCAACAGTGTGGCACAGAGAATATAACCAACGTGCACATAGAATTATTAGTTCAGTGTGGGGTTCAACAGTGTGGCACGGAGAATACAACAAACGTGCACACAAAATTATTAGTTCAATATGTGGTTCAACAGTGTGGCACAGAGAATATAACCAACGTGCACACAAAGTTACTAGTTCAATATGTGGTTCAACAGTGTGGCACGGAGAATATAACCAATGTGCACACAAAGTTACTAGTTCAATATTTCAGAGATGGTTCATAGGGGAAAGAATGGTAAAACAACAACATTTATTTAGTTGAATTTGCTCAGGTCTTAACAATGATTATGGGAATAAACATTCCATACAATTCCACACTGGATACAGAAGACTATATGTACAAAAAGTAGCGCAAAATAGCAACACAGTTTAAAGACCATTAAAGTTCCTACAACACTTGAAGAAAAGGATAGAATGTAGTGCAACATTAACAAGTAATGTAGCACTAACACTACAGAACCCATTTTATAAGGCCAATCTTCACCCCCTACCAGGAGCAGAACACTTCGAACTATCAGACATTTAATCTGCTGTCCAGCTCTGCTCAACAATCTCACGCACCTTCCTGTTGTATTCACGCTTGTTCTCGCTAAACATCCTTGCTGCTTCGGAATTGGCTGGGGAATTGGGGTTCGGAAAATACTCATTTATGGCTAAACTCATTACTCAATTTTATCAACCCTCATGTAATTTACGCCCAAGGAAGGGAACAGAGCACACAAAGATTGTGGGAGCATGCATATATATTGTGAAATTTCACATTCTCATCATGTCTTGGCAATCTCGTGTTTCATTCTCAGTCCTAAATATAATTGAGTCATGTTAGTCTAAAAATAAATAAATCAATAAATAGTCAGTTCAAACTCAGAGTGCATGCTTACACAATTCATTACCAGTCTCTATGAATTGAAAATTCAGACACAACCATGATTACGTATTCATATGTAGAACTTACCGTCATTGTGTTCTGTTTCCATCGTTCGAAGATCTCTTAGTCCCGGCTTTGGCTGATTCTGGTTGCACACTTCCGGCAAGAATTCGCAGGCGTTTGTCGGAGACGTCCCCGTCGCAGTTGTGTCGTTCACGGAATGTCGCAGTGTTGTTCGCGGGATTGGGGAGAAGAAGTAGATTCCTGAATCGTCTACTTTGCTATTTTCTAGGGGTCACACCGATTACAGTATTATTTATTAAATGTTGGGTGCGTAAAATGTCTCTTGTATCCCTGGTAATTTATTATATTAGTAGTCTCCTTATTAGTGATTAATTAATATGAACCATTGATCGGATGGGATTCGAAGGCTTAGATTAGTTCTCATGTTCCTACCTAAATATGGGTTCTTACTTGAAGCCCTCCCTAAAAATCATATAGGAACTCATTGTTAGGTAGGAACGTGGGAACCAATCTGGGCCATTTATTTGAATCCATCTACGGTGCGTATTTAATTGTTTTTTTAGTTTTGTATTTCGCGTTGTTATTAAATCTTTGGGCGTGTAGGGGGTAGTTTGGTCACTTCAATCAAGCGTGCGTGTGGATGGGGATATAATAATCTCTGAATTTTCGCAGTCTTCGTTGTGCTGGAGTCCAATACCGTAGGTTGTAGCTGTTTGAGTCCTTCCCATAGTCTTCATCATCGATCGAAATTCCCGTTGATGGCTGGCACCGTTGCTCGGAACCCTAAGCGCCCACGGCCGGCGACCTCGTCGACCTCTGCTCCAGGTCGGTTTTCGGGTTTTTCTATTTTTTATTTTTAAATGGATTTCATATTCTTATGCGTACAATTTGTTGTTTTTTATTTGGATGTATTTGGGTTGTGGACAATATGTTGTTTTTGTGGGTTGGTTTTTGGGAGTGGTGTAGGGTTTTGGTTGGGGGATGTTGCCGGTGACTGTGGTGGCTGGGGGTTGTTGCCGTGTTGATTTTGGTAGGGGATGGTGGGTTTTGGTTGGGGTGTTGCTGGGTTATTTTGGGAGTTTTTAGGTTAGTGTAGCTTGGTGTTGGGGGGAGGGGGACGGTGTTACTGGTTTATGTGTTTTTTTTTTTTTTTTTTTTTTTTTTTTTTTTTTTTTTTCATGTGGTTTTGTTTTATGTTGGTGTTTGGGAGTGGTGTTTGGTGTTGGCAGTGGATGTGAGCTTGCTGGCCGTATGTGTGTGGGAGGGGAGGGTGGGTTTTGGTTGGGGGTGTGGTGGGGGAGGGTGGGCGGTGTTGCTGCTGTGTGTGTTTTTTTTTTTTTTTTTTTTTTTTTTTTTTGGTGGTGGTGGTTGTACTCATAACTCACTAGTGCTTCAATCCAACCTCTACATGGTCATTTCTGTTAGTTGCAAATGGTTTAGTAATCTTGTTAGTTTTCAACAGTTTTCAATCGTTCCTGGTCTTTGTATATGTAATTTTTATGTTGATAGTAGTTCGTAATCTATTTCTTCTTAGTGGCATTTGTAGTAGTGTGACGTTGGACATATTTTTATCAATTTTTGAGTTTTGAGGTGTCCGCTTTTTACATCGTCAGTCGTTTCTGCGTTTGTTTATTTATTGGTATTAATATTTTTTTCAAAGTTAATATTTAGCAAGTACATCTGTCATTCCTTGAATAATTCTCTGATGTGCAGTTCTGTTCGTACGTGTGTGCCTTTTTGGTGTTTGAGGTTGGCTCGTGTTAAATCTGTGTGCCTTTTAGTGTGATCGTGTGTGCATTTGTGTGTTTGATGTGTTGTCGTTTGTTTTCTTTTTTCCAGAGGTACAGCCTGCGGCGGTGGCACCTGGGGCGATGGTTGATGATGTTGAAGTTTCTGAGTATGAGTTAACTCTTGAGGAGGCGGGTCGTTTCGAGAGTATGCAGACGAGGTGCTCTGCACGCATACTTGTCAATGCTTGTAAGAAGTTCTCACGCCGGCAACGTAGTGCAGTGTGTGATTTGGGGTTTGGGAAGCTATTACACCTAGAGGTTATGGAGACTCCTGGACGGATGGGGCGTTGGCTGCTGGAGAATTTCGACCCCGCGACGATGTCTTTGCGTTTGGGAAATGGTGTCATGTTGCCTATTCGTGAAGAGGATGTAGAGGCAACGCTTGGGCTTCCTAGAGGTCGCGTCACGATTACCAAGCGTGGCAACAATGATGTTAGTGACTTTTTGCTGCTTTGGAGGGCCGAGTTTGGCACAACGTCACATGACATTACTGCTAGCCGTATCGCGTTAAGAATTGGTCGTTTGCTAAATGGGGGCAAAATGGAGTTACCTCGTTCTGCCGGGCACACTCTATTTATAACATGTGCACACTGGCCAGTACAGCCTATTTTCTCCAAAATCAACTTCCAAAGCGGTTCTGATTTATTGAATTAAGGCCGGCATGTATATGAATCTGTTTAAACTGGTTTTTAGACAATTATCCATACACGAATTGGCTAATAAAGAATGAAAATTTAAATGTAGGTGAAAAGTTCATGATGGCACACAATGTTGGTCTCAGGTGCTTTCCCAGTTTTTTGTTTTTTGGTCGGTACTTAAGAGGATGATTATGGAGTATTTGGGTGATTTTGTTGAATCGAGTGCTTTGTATGCTGTGGCACACTCTGTTATTTTTAGTTGCTCGAATAGACTAATAGCGTTTGACGATTAAAATGTAGTGTAGGAGTTCTGGATGGCACACAGTTTTGGGGTTAGGTGCTCAGTGGAAGTGCATGGGTTTGGTACGTCACTCATGTTTTCCCGTCGGCTGTTCTTTGGGTGCCTATGCATTTCAGCATCGTGGGGGGGTGCCTTTTTGGGCAAAATGGAATTACCAATTCTGCCGGGCATACTCTATTTATAACATGTGCACACTGGCCAGTACAGCCTATTTTCTCTAAATTCAACTTCCAAAGCAGTTTTGATTTATTGAATTTAGGCCGCCATGTATATTACTCTCTTTAAACTGGTTTTTAGACAATTATCCATACACGAATTGGCTAATAAAGAATGAAAATTTAAATGTAGGTGAAAAGTTCATGATGGCACACAATGTTGGTTTTAGGTGCTTTTCCAGTTTTCTGTTTTTTGGCCGGTACTTAAGAGGTTGTATATGGAGTATTTCGGTGTTTTTGTTTGAATTGAGTGGTTTGTATGCTGTGGCACACTCTGTTATTTTCAGTTGCTCGAATAGACTAATAGCGTTTGAGGATTAAAATGTAGTGTAGGAGCTCTGGATGGCACATAGTGTTGGGGTTAGGTGCTCAGTGGCAGTGCATGGGTTTGGTGCGTCACTCATGTTTTCCCGTCGTCTGTTCTTTGGGTGCCTGTGCACTTCAGCATCGTAGGGGGTGCCAGTACAACCTATTTTCACCAAAATCAACTTCCAAAGCAGTTCTGGTTTACTGATTTTAGGCCGGCATGTATATGAATCTGTTTGAACAGGTTTGTAGTCAATTATCCATACACAACTTGACTCATACAGTATGGGAATGGTACTGTAGGTGAAAATTTCATGATGGCACACACCGTTGGCCTCAGGTGCTTTCCCAGTTTTCACTAATAAAGCATGAAAATATATCTGTAGCCTTGGTCTGTCTGTGCACTTCAGCATCGTAGGGGGTGCCGTTGTGGGCAGAGTGCCGTGAACTCTTTCCGTTGGGCACACCCTAGTTAGTACATGTGCACACTGGCCAGTACAGCCTATTTTTTCCAACATCAACTACCAAAGCAGGTTGGGCACTTCAGGGTCATTGTGAATGCCGTTTTTACCAAGATTGGCTGTAATCAACAGGTGTGGCACAGTCTTCTTATTGCAAGTGCACACTGCCTAGTACTATCTCTTTTCTCCCAAAACCAATTCTTATGACAGTTTTGATTTAATGAATTCATGCCAACATGTATATGACTATATTAAAACAATTTGGTAGACAATTATTCGTACACAATTAGACTAATAAACAATGAGTGAAAAAATGAATTGTAGAAACACTGAATGGCACACACTGTTGGAGTAAGGTGCACCATCAAAGCACGTGGGGGCATTCTGTTAGGCCGGGTTTGTCTGACTCTTTTTCTTGGTCTTCGATCGGAGCTCGCAGTTGCGGCTGTCATGGTGGCCGTATTTGTTACAAGTCCTACATTTCCTGACATCCTTGGCAGCTATTTCTGATGCAATCTCCTTTGATGATTTCAATCTCTTCCCTGAACCTTTGTTCTTTGCAATGGCGGGGGGGGGGTGAACCGTGATGTTCGGTGATGAGGTAGACCCACAAAAGCTACGAATCATACCACTCTTCTGCGCTTTAGCTTCCACTTGGTGCACGCTTTCCATTGATCTTTCCCTATGTTCTTTCAGTATTTTTCCTAACTCTGTTATTCTGTCGGTGTTGCCATACGCATACCCCACACACTTGAAGAACTCATCAAATACGGTACCCATTCGTGTGTTCCCTCCAATAGCTTCGGTAGGACTACCCAGTTCTGGGTTTGCATACAGCTGTGCGTGTGGCCAACAAGAACTGCGTGTCCATCGGGGAATGATATATTGCGCAGGTATTCTCTCCAAACGTGCGTCCTTAAAGGTCAAGAACACATGTCTGCATTGTAGACCAATCCTTTGGAACATATTGCATGAGCATTTTGCTTTCCCCTCTATATGATTGTATTCCACAGAATGGAACACTGTGTTCGTGTCCTCTATCAGCAATGTGGTAGTGCTTCCTTCAACTGTTTTGTTAACAACTTGGGATGAGAAGCAGGCTTTCACTATCTCTTTTTGGACATCATAAAAAACAGCAATTGTATACGTTGCAGCAGCTTGGCGTTCTAGCAATATAGGCGTTTTCAACACTGGGAACTTGTCCTCACAATTTGCGTTTAGTTGTGATTGGTTGTGGCGTTGTTTGTCTATTGCTTTTTCAAATTGAATGAAGAACTGCGTTAAACTGAAATGGGGAGAAGTGCAGTTGCTGAATACGTTGTTCTCAGATTCTGACCTTGAGGTTGTTCTAATTAAGCCACCCATGAATACGTCGTTGAAGAATGCTGGTATCCAATGATCACGTATCTCGAACAGGTGGGTAAACCATTTGTGCTCAACTAGATTGTGTTTTTCCATCACTGTTTGCCAACCTGTTTCAAACTCCCTAATTGATTGCGTCTCACTCCAAACCACATCGTTGAGGCTTTTTAGGAAATCTTCATTACTCGCTAATGTTGGCCCTACCTTCTCACAAACCTTTGTCATTATGTGCCACATGCAGAATCTGTGGCGTGTTGTATCAAAAACTCGTGCTATTGCGACTCTCATTGCGGGGTCTTGGTCAGTAACTGTGCAGGCTGGTACTTTACCCATGGCATTTTTGAAGTGTTCTAGCAACCAGGCGTAGGAGTCCACATCTTCTCTGGTAATTAATCCGGCTGCGAATGTCACGCTCTTCTTGTGGTGGTCAACCCCCGTGAATGGCACAAACACCATCTTGTACCTGTTAACATCATATGGTGTATCAAATTTTACTAATAAGTTGTGTGTTGGAAGATGGAGAAACTACCAACTTTGAACTCTTCGTTACTGCACAAAGTTGTCAACACGACGGCACAGCAGTCCATTCTGCTATGCATTCTGGGCTGCTGTGTGCCGGCTGGACTACCCCCGTGTGCCAAATAAGGGAGATGTAGGATGTGGGGTGTACCTGTTTGTACTGTATGTGGCGTCGAAGGACATAACATCACCGAATAGTTTGAAGTTGTGGCGAGCCTGTGGGTCTGCCCAAAAAATTCTGCACAGTTGGTCAAGTTCATCAACATCATGGGCAAAGTAGAAGTCAGTTGACACTTCTTTCTTTGCCATGTACTTGTCAAGCACTAGTTGGGCATCTGCACCTTCAATGTATGCCATTATATCTCTTTTGAAATTACCAAAATATGTTACTGTAGCGCCAACGTTTGCAAACCCTCCCACCATCTCTTCGTATAGTGTAAAGGATTTGTTATACCCGATATTTGCCTTTGCACAATTGATGATGAAGTTTTGGTGCCCAAGGTCAAGCTTCCGGTTTGCCTTCATGAAGGGCCTAGAAATTGCTGTGCGTAACAAGTGGTTATGGCGTTCTTCTATTGCATAAACCTCATAACCATTATTGTCCTTCGCTCTCTTGAATATTATTCTGGCGTTGCACCCCACCCGATTTGTGACACGTCGCCTTTTTGTTGGGGCATTGTCTTCAACCATTGCCACGCCTACCCCATCCCCTTCGCCAGTAGGGAGTTTGAACCCAGCACGTGAGCACAACACGTACTTCGACGTGATTTGCCCTTGCCTATCCGTCTTCTCGGAAGCACGCCGCACATCAAACCCAGTAGTAGTGGCGTAAGTTTTGTAGAATTCAATTCCTCCTTCTAGAGTAGCGAACACCTGTCCAACGAATGGCTTTTTACCCTCTTCACACTCTGGAGTAAAGTAATTCGTTTCTCCAGGAGATATATTCATTGAGCAACCGGTGTATGTCCCTAGTAAGCCCGCCTCACCTGTCGGGGGTTGCAAAATTGTTAGTTCAATATGTGGTTCAACAGTGTGGCACAGAGAATATTACCAACGTGCACACAAAAGAATTAGTTCAATATGTGGTTCAACAGTGTGGCACAGAGAATATAACCAACGTGCACACAAAAGTATTAGTTCAATATGTGGTTCAACAGTGTGGCACAGAGAATATAATCAACGTGCACACAAAATTATTAGTTCAATACGTGGTTCAACAGTGTGGCACAGAGAATATAACCAACGTGCACATAGAATTATTAGTTCAGTGTGGGGTTCAACAGTGTGGCACGGAGAATACAACAAACGTGCACACAAAATTATTAGTTCAATATGTGGTTCAACAGTGTGGCACAGAGAATATAACCAACGTGCACACAAAGTTACTAGTTCAATATGTGGTTCAACAGTGTGGCACGGAGAATATAACCAATGTGCACACAAAGTTACTAGTTCAATATTTCAGAGATGGTTCATAGGGGAAAGAATGGTAAAACAACAACATTTATTTAGTTGAATTTGCTCAGGTCTTAACAATGATTATGGGAATAAACATTCCATACAATTCCACACTGGATACAGAAGACTATATGTACAAAAAGTAGCGCAAAATAGCAACACAGTTTAAAGACCATTAAAGTTCCTACAACACTTGAAGAAAAGGATAGAATGTAGTGCAACATTAACAAGTAATGTAGCACTAACACTACAGAACCCATTTTATAAGGCCAATCTTCACCCCCTACCAGGAGCAGAACACTTCGAACTATCAGACATTTAATCTGCTGTCCAGCTCTGCTCAACAATCTCACGCACCTTCCTGTTGTATTCACGCTTGTTCTCGCTAAACATCCTTGCTGCTTCGGAATTGGCTGGGGAATTGGGGTTCGGAAAATACTCATTTATGGCTAAACTCATTACTCAATTTTATCAACCCTCATGTAATTTACGCCCAAGGAAGGGAACAGAGCACACAAAGATTGTGGGAGCATGCATATATATTGTGAAATTTCACATTCTCATCATGTCTTGGCAATCTCGTGTTTCATTCTCAGTCCTAAATATAATTGAGTCATGTTAGTCTAAAAATAAATAAATCAATAAATAGTCAGTTCAAACTCAGAGTGCATGCTTACACAATTCATTACCAGTCTCTATGAATTGAAAATTCAGACACAACCATGATTACGTATTCATATGTAGAACTTACCGTCATTGTGTTCTGTTTCCATCGTTCGAAGATCTCTTAGTCCCGGCTTTGGCTGATTCTGGTTGCACACTTCCGGCAAGAATTCGCAGGCGTTTGTCGGAGACGTCCCCGTCGCAGTTGTGTCGTTCACGGAATGTCGCAGTGTTGTTCGCGGGATTGGGGAGAAGAAGTAGATTCCTGAATCGTCTACTTTGCTATTTTCTAGGGGTCACACCGATTACAGTATTATTTATTAAATGTTGGGTGCGTAAAATGTCTCTTGTATCCCTTGTAATTTATTATATTAGTAGTCTCCTTATTAGTGATTAATTAATATGAACCATTGATCGGATGGGATTCGAAGGCTTAGATTAGTTCTCATGTTCCTACCTAATTATGGGTTCTTACTTGAAGCCCTCCCTATATATATATATATATATATATATATATATATATATATATATATATATATATATATATATATATATATATATATATATATATATATACTTGATATATTGCTAGGCATCACGCAAAGAACTATTATTTGTAATAGCAATTTGAGACTGCGAACAACAACAAGGTGTTACTGTTTGCAACCCCAAATTATTGTTGCGAACAGTAGTTTGCTATTCGTAGTAACTTGTTATATATATCACTACTGGAAATTCTGAAATTTCCGACCACCTGAAAGTGATCTTAATTAAGTTGAAAGCCTGGTTTCCGACCACTTTTGGTATCCGGAAAAACATTTGCTGCTATTTCTGACCACTTTTTGCTTTCAATTTGATTAAAGATCACTTTCAGGTGGTCGGAAATTCCATAATTTCCAATAGTGTATATATATATATATATATATATATATATATATATATATATATATATATATATATATATATATATATATATATATATATATATTACTAATATAAACTTAAAAAGAATAAAAATCAACCTTGGATGGTCTAATTTCACACTAATTAGTATATATATTAGAACGATTTGATCACAACCTTGGATGGTCTAAATTCAATAGTCTAGATTAGACCACAGGTTCTCACCTAAGAAGTGATTCAATCGTCTAAATTAGACCATATTGTTGAGCCATTATCTCTTAAATCCTTCCATCTTCTCCGATCCTCCATATTAGCATGGGGTTTATGGACTTTTGCCACCATTCTTCTGTCCTTTCTCCATGTGGCAGGAGGAAGCAGATGATGAGGAAGTTAAGTTTTTGTTCTTATTTCTCCGCTTTTGAAGCTTAACAAATCCTAGGGGTTTGTGAGTGGTGCATTTGAATGTGCACTGGGCTGCTACATCAGTTTCTGCTTTAAAAACATTGATTATAGTTTTATTAGCATATACAAACATTTGACTGCAAATGGAGAAACATATGATAACAACATTTGCTGCGTAAAGAGTGGATATTTGATTTGCACTCTTCACGATTGCATTTTGCTTCTTGTTCTCACTTTCACTCATTCTTCTTTCATAATCTTTGATTCGTGTACGATCAAAAGGGAATGATGTTTATGAAGATGTGTTCTTATGGATAACTATTTACAGTTGCATCCGTGCTTCATTCTATGATATAAAAACTAATAATTGGGGTTTCAAAAAATTAGTTAATTGGGTCCATGTATTTTGGTGAAATAGTAGTTTTAGTCCTTTTATTTTGTTTTATTTTGTTTTGTTTTTTTTTTTTTTTGAGGTGTTGATTTTGGTATGTCGGCTAGTGATGATGATATCGGATTCATTCATTGTTTTGTAAAAAATCTAAATTTACTTGTCCAGTAGATGCGCGAAATGCGCACGTGTTTTACTTTTCCTTCATTTTTCTCTCTATAATGGGGCCCACGAAAATGTTAAATTTGCAGGAGAAAAAATTAGTAAAAATTCCCACCCCACATTTATATGTTAATGACGTACACATATTCTTTCAGTACTGGACATTCAATCTTTTTCTCAACCATTTTTTCCAATTCCATAAATACATTTTGAATTATTGACTAAAAATGTTTATGTGGATGGATGGTGAGTAATAAAATAATTAAATAACCAAAATATTTAAATTAAGCTGCATCTTGCACAAATTAAATAATTCCTTGCTAGCCATAACAACATATTTGATTAATGGAATGAATTTTAAGAGAAAATAATTTTTATTCCATTGTTTGGGTCACTGAAAGAATATGCATCAAGAATTATACTCTAGTATTTGATTAGTTTAAAGATTAAAAAAAAAAAGAATAAAACAACATTGCGTTTTGTATACATATGTATATATTTAATTAAGTATACATTTATTTATTTATAAATAAATAATAAATATTTATATACTCCGTAAATAATTAAATACACTTGAGCGCTCTAATATTCGGTTGCGCCAAAAAGCATCCTCGTGGGACCTTGGGCGTTAAAGGGACAGTGTCCTTTGTCACCTCCTACGTTAACCCTATAAATGATAGCGCTGCGCCCACAGTACACCTCTTTGAAAATTCTGGTCCTCACGAGCCTGTTGGGGTGAATGACGTATCATTTCAATAATCTGACTAACTGAAAAAGGAGGATTTCTGTTATGGCGGCGAAAGTTTTGATGAACGCCTACACGAACACGAACGAAGATTCAACACAAGGATAAGTAGATATTGTTTGGGGGTAATGTGCATTATATTTTGGTCATAACCACACAACATTATTAAATCACAATTACTTTAAAAAAATTTACACAGAAGCACAAAAACATAATTTCAGTGCTTATAACTGTCTTTAGGTAGGTGCTCAGAAGTTGATGGTCTAGGGCCATCACGCAGAGGTGCACCCAACTTTCCGTATCCAAACCCTCTTGATGCAATTTCCCGAGCCTCCCGTCCCCTTATAATCTTTGGCGACCATCTTTTCAACGCGGGCAAAGATCGATCTTGGTACGCCGCGATTGCCTATCACCAACCTATCTACGTACAATAGCTGCACCAAAACTGTTTCACAGGTATAAGAGTTGACAATAAACAACATCTACATAATCAATGGGATATCATTAAGCCACAGATTCACAATTAAAAAGAGTAATGGCCCAGTGGGCATTGTGAATCCCCTGCTGGTACAGATTACGAGAGAAAGAAAGCCAATTAGTGAAGTTAACAACGATACAATTAACACATTCCCATTACTATTTTAAAGACCCACCCAAAATGCACATTCATCAAAAAAGGAGGTTGTTTGCTTTGAAAATCAGATTGCACACTTGTAGACTTGTAGTATAAATAATAGTATCTTTGAATTTAATTTCAATAGAACTTGACACTTGTACTTCTTTATTTTGGTTTGTAAGTGTATAAAACCCTGGTTACCTCTAATCTCACAATACTAAAGTGCAACCGAAATACTAAACTACCCTTAGACTAAACAACATCCCAAAATAAAACTTAGACTATCATTCTTCCAAAAAGGCTGAACCCCAACCCTAAGGGCCCCCCACACCCCGGCCCGACAGAGCGGTGGGAAAACTTGGACTATCATTATCCCTACAAATCCCTCTTTCTCAAAAATGGGTCACACGTCCACATCACCCAATATACAAATAATTTACTATTCATTCATACTACATTCTTGCAAATTCAACCTATTTTAAAAAGTGGACTACAATATCACATCATTTTAAAACATTAATAAATAAATATAATAAAAAAAAAACAAAATAAGTAAAGTAAATAAAAAATTAAAAATAAAAAAAACAGTTTGGTAGGATTAGAGCTGTCAATGCGGGCTGGCGGGGCGGGGCCCGCCAAAGCCCACCTTTTGGCGGGGCGGGCTAAAAAGCCCGCCAAGAATACGGGCCTAGGTAGTGGCAGCCCGCCTCGCCCCCCATAGGCCCGCGGGCCCCCGCCAAAGCCAGCCTTTTTTTTTTTTTTTTTTTTTTTTTGTTTTAATCATGTGTGAAGTGCTCCTAAAATCTAAACTCCAATGTGACTATGTTAATAACTTAATTGCTATCTACTTAAAATACTTTGCTGTCATTGTTGAAATGTTGTGATGAACGAATTCGGTTATGAAGGTGTAATAACCGCGGTCACCAAATAACCGATACTATTATTTATATTATTATATTATACATATTATATATATTAATTATATATATATATATATATATATATATATATATATATATATATATATATATAATATGTATAATATTATATATATAATATTATATATACATATATGTATAATATTATATATATAATATTATATATACATATATGTATAATATTATATATATAATATTATATATACATATATATACATATATATTATATATAATATATATAATATTATATATACATATATATACATAATATTATATATACATATATATACATATATATATATACATATTATATATACATATATATACATACATATATATATATATATATATGTATATATATGTATATATAATATTATATATATAATATTATACATATTATATATATATATATATATATATATATATATATATATATATATATATATATATATATATATTAGTTACTGTATATATATATAACTATAAAAAAAAAAGGCGGGCGGGCAAAAAAGCCCGTTTTTAAAAGGGGCTTCAAAAATATAAGTCCATCCCGCCCTTTTGGCGGGCGGGGCGGGAAAGCCCGACGGGCTAAGCCCATTTTGACGGCTCTAGGTAGGATTGTAAATTTGTAATCTAACTCATCATTAAAAAAAAAAAATGTTTATAACAAATGCCAAGTAAGCTTGTCAATCCCAAATTTACAGGGATAATGTAAGTCTTATACTAAATGCACACGGACAGGCGTGCATCTAAATTTTAAACCCAATTAGAACCATAGATCCCTCTAAACCCAAGTTCACACACACATAAAATAGAGATCAGATGCGGAGTAGGTGTCTAGGTGAAACGTGCGGGTGGATGATAGTCGTTGATCTTGTCAAAGTCAACCGTCCATATTGAACAATGTTTAAAAAAACGTGATGGTATTTTGATCATTTTGCGTATTGTTGAAACTTAAGGTGCGTATTTTATACGTTAAAGGTGTGTCATTTTAATACTTAAGTGCATCATTTTAACACTTAAGGTGCGCCACTTTTACACTTGATAACTTAAGGTGTGTTATTTGTTGAACTTAAGGTGCATCTTTTCATAGCTTAAGGTGCATCTTTTTAACACTTACGATGCGTCATTTTAACATTTAAGGTGCATCAGTTATATACTTAAGGTGCATAAGTTCTACACTTAAGGTGCGTGATTTTACTACTTAGGTGCATCTTTGTAACACTGAAGGTGCATCATGTGAACACTTAAGGCACGTCATTTTTAACACTGAAGGTGCATCATGTGAACACTTAAGGTGCGCCATTTTTAACATTGAAGGTGCATCATGTGAACACTTAAAGTGCGTCATTTTAACACTTAAAATGCGTCATCTGAATACTTAAGGTGCGTCTTTATAACATTTAAGGTGCGTAAGTATTACAATTTGCTTCTGCCAGCTTCCAAGATACGGTTTTTTTTTTTTTTTTTTTTTTTTTTTTTTTTTTTTAAAATTCATTGATTTGAGCCGTTGATCTAGATTTGATCAACGACTCAGATCTCACCGCATGTTTCACTTACGACCTCCTCCGATCCGCACCGGATCTCACACATACACACACACACATATATATAAAAGCATGTGTGTAAATGATGTGTTTGGTGTTAACATTAAAAAAAACAAAATTATTTCTAAAGACTACGGAATAACTTATACCAAGATTTCTTGAAAATTGCTATTTGCTTTTATGGCATGTTCGTTTAGTTCATAGAATAGGGCAAGAAAGGAATAACATTCCTTGGAATAGATCTATTCCATTGTTTGGTTGATTATTTTGTCATGAGAATAATATTCTTAGGAATGAGTTATTACCTTTGCAAGGGGAATAGCCATTCTTAGGGGATCTTTGGTATTAGCTATTCACATGCTTTTGGGAATAGCTTTTATATCACAAATACCAAAATACCCTTTGCACATTATTTTGTATTTATATTTAATAAATATAATTTATTATATAAATGTATATATTTAATTAATTATAATTTTTATTTATCAATAAATATATATTTAAATAAATTATATGTGTGTGTGTGTATATATATATATATATATATATATATATATATATATATATATATATATATATATATATATATATATATATAGAAGAGCGCTCATATGCGGCGGGGTCTTACGGTGCGGCGGTACGGTCAAATTCCAGAATACACCAACAGTGTTAACAATATGCACCAACAGTGTAATAAAAACACACCCCAATGAAATGTAATAAAACATCACAAAATACACCACAGACTCAAAAAAACACACCATATAACTCACCACCCCCAATGGTGTATTTCCGAACAGTGTATGGTGTTTTTACTCACACCTAATGGTGTGTGTTTGGTGATGCAGGGCTCTGTTTACTTTGTTTTGTGTGGTGTATTTCCTAACGTTGATGGTGCATATTTAGTGAACTATTGGTGTTGCCGCACCGTAAGAAATAACCGCACCGTAAGACACTGCCGCACCTGAACCCGCCTATATATATATATATATATATATATATATATATATATATATATATATATATATATATATATATATATATATATATATATATATATATATATACACACACACACACACACACACACACACACACACACACACACACACACACACACACACACACACACACATAGCATGCTATTATAGGTCAAATATTTTAATTGCACTGTTTTAATTAGTTTAAGGGTTTAATGGAAGGTTTTTTTAGTTCGAGGGGCTAATTGCACTTTAGTATATAGTTGGAGGGTCTATTTGACCCTTTATCCCTTGGTTTTATGACTTTTGGGCAGTCAAGAATAACAAGAAAATAGGAGAAATATAGGAAAAATATACGGAGAAAATATAGGAACTTTGTATTTAAGAATATTGTTTGTGAATCGTGACTGTCGTCCCTTTTTCTCGTGGATGTGGATCTATTTATACATATTTTGGGCCTAGAGCCTTATAAGAAATAAGAATTCTAGACTGCCTCATATTGGGAGTCTTAGTTACATAATAAGTCTTAATTCGATCTATTATACTAGAAATAGTGAGTCCAATTCTAATTATAATGGGAATAATAGGCCCAATAATCCTTGACTAACTCTTGAGTTGATGCGTATTGTGTATCCTTCATGGGCTTCCTTGATCCAGTTGCCTTCTTGGGCTGGTCCATGTGGCCTAGACCTAGTATATAATCCATCAATTATTATTATTATTATTATTATTATTATTATTATTATTATTGTTATTATTGTTATTATTGTTATTATTATTATTATTATTATTATTATTATTATTATTATTATTATTATTATTATTATTATTATTGGGAGTCCTACCGGTGCGGGGTTTGTGGCGCCCAACTAAATGGAGGTTAGATCAGTCGTGCCACATGTTCGTACTAAGACGACTAAAGTTGATGTGACAGCTAAGAGGATACTTCATGTGTCGTTTGTTTGTCTAAGTGGATCCATCCTCTTGACCTCGAAGGTCGGGAAGTGCATTCATTAGGGTCATCATTAGGTCGGAAACTGAATGACATTGTTTGTATTCCTTTATTAGGGTTAATACTCAAACTCATTAAAGTTTGGTTAGTTCAAAATTAAAGCTCAAACAATATTAGCCTAATAAAATTGGTTCAAGACATTGAAATCCATTTAGAGAATTGAATTTGGGTAGTTACATTTGAAATCAAAACTTATAAAAGTGGAAAAGAATCTCTAGCTAGGCAACAATTTCCACTATATACTCTTATGGATCTCCAAAGCATTAAGGAAAGGATAAAGACCCATCAATAATTCCATGAAAGAAATCTTAGGCCTATTTTTATACTTTGATTGGAATAGTGCAGTTAATTTGTTGGAATTGAATACTTTTAAATAAAAAGAACGCGTTGTATAATGAAAGGTTTATTGCAATCTCACTTTGTTCGGTCCAATAGAATACAACAAATTATTACATTTTTTCTTAAAAAGAATCAATGAGTTATGAAGAAAAAAAATTACAATTGATTAAATTGATGGAGAGAAAAAATAAATTGAAGAATGAAGCTAGTTCAAAGCACCGCAGACTTTTCTAATAATCCCACTTTGATCTGTGAGCGGTTGAATTTCAGACATTTTAATCATGGCTGATGCGAAATCTGCTTGGAATGCTCGAGGGCTCCTTGCATATTCTGAAACTATGCTGTCTGTAGCTCCACCACTGAATAGAACTTGATCCGATTGAAGCAGACCTTTCTTTTGTAATAGGTTCTTGTAATAGTTGTTATCGAAGGAGTTTGGAGTCACTAAATCAAGTGCAGCCAAATTTCCGTTTCCGGTGTCTTTAGGACATTGGCGTCTTCTGGTGCTAGCAAAACCGGCATCAATGTCGGTACTGTTGCCGTAAATCCTATCGCGAAATAGGAAGCATTGAGCTTGGCCGAGAGTGTGCGCACCAGACAAGGCAACCATGTCTCTTGTATTAAGGCCTTTGCTAGCAAAGCTGGATATGAGTTTATCCAGATTGTCGAAAGGGCCGGGAAGATCGGTTTCAGCTAGGGTATGGCTAGCCGTGGTGGAATCTCTTCTTCCTAGCTTCACTGTCCAAGACGGACCTCCCACTGCAGCTGACGCATCACGTGCAGCCACCGACAATACATCAGCACAAGATACAATACCAGGACAAGATTTCTCTAGCTCGAGCTTGGCAGCCTCTATCACGTCGTAACCCCTGGTAGAGCCAAGGTTAGGCAATGCCGTCTTTTCGCTCTCAATGGTTGGCGACTCGTCGAGTAAGATGGAAGCGTCGCAACCCTGCACAAAGCAGTCGTGGAAATGGAGACGGACCAAGGAAGCGGCCATGCGGCGCTCACGAGAAACTGCTTGCCTTACGGCAGTGCGAATGATGTTGAGAGCGTTGGGGCATGTTTTGTCGTAAAATGTAGGGGAGAGTTGCCCCTGGCATTGCGAGGAAGAGAGAAGAAGAAGCAAACATGATAAGATAGCAATGCATGGCGTTGTATGAGAAGCCATATATTATATATAGATAGAGAAATGTAGCTTATTTGCAGGGGGATTATTGCTCTGAAAACTCAAGCTAAGGTTGGATATGTTTGATGATTGAGAATGAGAAGGTGGAAGTGAATATATAGTTGGTGCAGGGAAGAAAGTGGTCGCTATTGTCTGCGACAGTACACCGCGTTATTAAGGATCGAATGTAATCCAGCTAATATAAGGACTGGCCGCTTCACTTTAAGGAATGAGGAATATATTATAAAGTCTAACTAAAAAATAAGAAAAGTAAACTAAATATATATATATATATATATATATATATATATATATATATATATATATATATATATAAATTGGAAAAGTCAAAAGATTTCGTGGCTGACTTAACATTCAGTCAAATGGATGTGCCATTATTATATAATAAAATTTTGAGATTTGTATTTTATTATGGAAGTTGGTAGCCAAGGCAGGCATGTGGATGGCATGCACTGTCATTGTCATTCAATTCTAAGTTTCATCGAAATTTCGCATTTTGACTGCGACATTTTCCGTTGTTTTCTGGCAAGTGCTATTGTAAACAATACCATTTCAATTTCAATTTTTCATTTCAAATTTCCCTAAAGTGTAAGGAACGATAAAATATGAATACAAAACTAGAAATTAATAAATAATGAGCAATGTACGTTTTTTTTTTTTTTTTTTTCTCTCTCTTTTCGATAGTGATAAAAATACTTTGACTAAATGATAATTTAATTTACGTGTAAAATACAAAAATATAAATAAAAAGTAAATTATATAAAATAAGCAAAAAATGAAAATTTTAACCTAAAATTATAATGAAAATTATAGTGGTTCTTGGGTTAGAGCTAGTCAAATTCTATTCTGTTATGTTTTTGGGTGTCTTAATTAGTACATATAAATTATATAGAACTCATGTTAATATAATTTTGAGAATAATAATTTAACGCCAATAGCTAATTTGACTCTGTGAATAAAAATTGGCCATTTTGAATCTTGTCTCCTCACTTTCTCGATCTCATTCTTCTTTGATATTTGATTTGTGTACAATCAAAAGGGAATGATGTTTATGAAGAGGTGTTATTATGGGCAGCTATTATATTTATAGTTGCATCGGGGCTACAATTCCTTTTATTGTATAAAAAATAATAATTGGGGTTTCAAAAAAAAAATTGTAGTTGAATTGGAAAAATAGTTAATTAATTTGGTCCATTTATTTTGGTGATATAGTAGTTCTATTCCTTTTGTTTATTTATTATTGTTTTGAGGTGTTGATTTTGGTATGTCGGCTAGTGATGATGGTATCGGCTCTATTCAATTCATTGTTTGTTTAGATTTAAAAAACTTCAAGAAAAAAAAAAAAACTAGATTTACTCGCCCTATTGACGCGCGAAACGTGCACATGTCTTACTTTTCCTTCGTTAATTTTTCTCTCTCTAATGGGGCTCACAAAAATGTTGAATTTGCATGAGAAAACACTAGAAGACAATACTAACCCGAAACTCCTTTGATAACAACTATTACAAGAACCTGTTGCAAAAGAAAGGTGTGCTTCAAGCGGATCAAGTTCTATTCACCGATGGAGCAACTGACAGTATTGTTTCAGAGTACGCTAGGAGCCCTCAGGCATTCGAAGCAGATTTCACAAATGTTTGAAACTCAGCCGCTCACAAGTCAAAATTAGATCATTAAAAAGGTCTACGGTCTACGGTACGTTGCTTTGAACTAGCTTCATTCTTCAATTTAGTTTTCCTCTCCTTCAATTTAATGAATTATATATTTTTCTTCATAACTCATTGATTGTTTTTAAGAAAAAATGTAATAATTTATTGTATTCTATTGTGTTTTTGGGTATATTAATACATGTAAATTGAGATAATATCTCCAATAGTCCTCCCAGTATTAGCGATTTACCCGTTGTGGTCATCCGAGTTTTAAATGACCTCCAATGGTCCTCCGTGTTTTAAAAAATAACCACCCGTGGTCCTAGTTCTTAAAAAAATCGAGTTTAAAATGACCACGAGACGTCCTAAAAGGACCACGTGTGATTATTTTTAAAACACGGAAGACCATGGGAGGTCATTTAAAACTCGGATGACCACAGCTAGTAAATCGCAAATACTCGGAGGACCATTGAAAGTATTAACTCCATGTAAATTATATAGAACTTATGTTAATATAATTTTGCGAATGGAATAATAATTTAACGTCAACTTTGACCAATGTAACATTAGTAAATTTTCAATAGTTAATTTGACCGTGTTTATCTCATGAAGCAAGTTGTTTATCTGCCTTTCCGTTAGAGAGAAAAATTATTATCTTGACATTTTCATTAGGTCTCATTTTTAAACACTATTAACCAACCGAAGAAATTAGAAGGTCATTTCTAAAAAATGTTATGTATGTTGAGTACCAATGATGGTGAGCAAATTATATCTAAGCTAAGAAAGATGTATAGAGCCTTGGGGTGTACGTGCAAGGCACCGAATATGCATGTGCAAACTGAAAGTGCGACCGAATATGTACGCAGTTGTCCAAATATTAATTAATTAATTAAACAAAAGAACATATAAGAATGAGCCAATGGGAAAGCAGTTGTGAGATTTTGAAGTCAAGGACAGGTGACTGGGTCACGTCAGCCTTCTTAGCTGGAGTGCAAACACTACCACATGCTGTTCTTCAACGTTGTAAAATACATATATAACGCGGCGTCGCAGCCAATAGTGACCATTTTACTTTACTTTATCCCCTTCCCTTTCCTATATATACTCCCTGCACCCTCTCCATTCTCTCATCATCTTGCCCATCTCCATTCTCATCTTCTCAACTTAACTCCTCTTTCAATTCCATTCTCGCAGTTAATTTCCTTTTGGATTACAATAATAATGGCATCTAATAGGCCTTGCATGGCATTTGCAGTATTATTGTTATACTCCCTCATTCTGCTGCTCTCCTCCTCGCAATGCCAAGGCCAACTCTCCCCTACATTTTACGACAAAACATGCCCCAACGCTCTAAACATCATTCGCACTGCCGTAAGGCAAGCAGTTTCTCGTGAGCGCCGCATGGCCGCCTCCTTGGTCCGTCTCCATTTCCACGACTGCTTTGTCCAGGGTTGCGACGCTTCCATCTTACTGGACGAATCACCAACCATTGAGAGCGAAAAGACAGCGTTGCCCAACCTTGGCTCTGCCAGGGGTTACGACGTAATAGAGGCTGCCAAGCGTGAGCTAGAGAAATCTTGTCCTGATATTGTATCTTGTGCTGATGTATTGTCCGTGGCTGCGCGTGATGCTTCAGCTGCTGTCGGTGGTCCGTCTTGGACAGTGAAGCTAGGAAGAAGAGATTCCACCACGGCTAGCCATACCCTAGCTGAAACCGATCTTCCCGGCCCTTTCGACAATCTGGATAAACTCATATCCAGCTTTGCTAACAAAGGCCTTAATACAAGAGACATGGTTGCCTTGTCTGGTGCACACAGTCTCGGCCAAGCTCAATGCTTCCTATTTCGCGATAGAATTTATGGCAATGGTACTGATATTGATGCCGGTTTTGCTAGCACTAGAAGACGCCAATGTCCTAAAGACACCGGAAATGGAAATCTGGCACCACTTGATTTAGTGACCCCAAATTCCTTTGATAACAACTACTACAAGAACCTATTGCAAAAGAAAGGTCTGCTCCAATCAGATCAAGTTCTATTCAGCGGTGGAGCTACGGACAACATAGTTTCAGAGTACGCAAGGAGCCCTCGGGCATTCCAAGCAGATTTTGCGTCAGCAATGATTAAAATGTCTGAAATTCAACCGCTCACAGGTCAAAATGGGATCATTAGGAAGGTGTGTGGCGCTTTGAACTAGCTTTCTTTAGCTACCGCGCGCTACATACTTATTCTTCCGCACTACTGTTTTTCTTAAGCATTTAATAATTTAGTTTTCCCCTCTCATCAATTTCATTGTATTTTTTTTCTTAATAATTCTTTGATTATTTGTTATTTAGAAAAATGTAAGAATATAATCTTTTGTATTCTATTACACCCAACTAAGTGTGGTTATAATAAATTTTTCATTATATATCACGTTTCGAACACATCATTCCAACAATAAGTTGAAATCTAATAGTAAAATAATATCCAATAATACTTAATTAATTTCTATGACACTGGACCAAGACTTAAAAATTCGAGTTTCAAGATTGTTGTTGTGCTATGTTTATGTATGATATTGGCGGAGTGAAGGAAATAAAATTTCCTTCCATCAGAACTTTTGAACTTGGCCAAAAATGTTTTGTAGCTAAGTTTTGTGTAGATGTGTGTTTGTGTTAATATGAGTATGGGGTTACTAGCGTAATAATAAATAAGGTAATGCAAAGAGAGGGAGAGAGATTTTTAAAGTGATTTCAAAAATAACTTTCATATTCCACTCTCTTAAATTTTAAGGAGTATTGTGCACAAAAATACAAACTCTGCTTACTTCAGATGTACTGCTACTTACTTCTTCCAGTGATAACCCTTGAAACAGATCACAAACTCCTCGTCGACTTATTGTTCACTGCCTGATCAAGTTCCAAGCTTCCACTGAAGGCAATCACGAAATCACCTTGGTATGATGATATGCCAACTTCCGTCAACTCAAAAAATGGATGTTGTTGAGTGTTGAACTTTTAAAATTTAGATGATTTTTCTTTGGCTTAGAATATTTGATGAACCTTTAAGTAAGTATTTTTTTTTTTATCACAAAAGCTCATGTTATTATTTAGACCCTCAACAGTAAATTAGAGTAAAGTCATTCGACAATAAGTCCTTTCAGATTAAAAAAATATGTATTTTCTAGTTAGAATGAATTTCTTGTGGTAGACATCATCTGTTAAGTTCTTACAATATAATCTAGGTATTAATCTTCATTTAAACAAGGATTGTTAGGACACCAATCGCACAACTCTCCTTATTTAATTCTGATAAAAATCTTTGTGATAAAAAAAAAAATAAAATCCTGAGGGTTTGTGAGTGACGCATTTGAATATGCACTCGGGTGCTACAGTGGTTTACGCTTCAAAAACATTGATTATAGTTTTATCACCATATACAAATATTTCACTAGTACAAAAACAATCATTCGCGTCCAAAGTTGAGGCTCATTCGCGTCCAAAGTAGCTGGGACGCAGCTGGCGGGGACGCTGATTGTATATACAATCAGCGTCCGAAGCTACTTTGGACGCGAAAAACGATTAATCACGTCCGAAGTTGAAGAACTTCGGACGCGATTAATCTCATTACACTGACTTTGCGCGTCCAAAGTTGGTCAACTTCGGACGCGCAAAGTCTGTAAATCGCGTCCAAAGTTCTTCGACTTTGGACGCGATTAATCATCTTCTTGTGATTAAAATGATTATTCGCGTCCAAAGTTGAAGAACTTTGGACGCGAATTGTAGTATTTTTTTTTATTTTATAATAATTTGTTAATAATTCCAGTTTTTTTCCTGTACAGAAAATATTATGTTCATCCACAACATGCACTCACAACCACTACATACCACTTCAACACTTTCAACTAATAAAGTTCAATACATCATTACGCCAACACTTTAGCCCTACTAAATTAAACTCCAATACATTCAATTCACAACACTTCAAAGTTTTCAATACATAATTGCCAACACTTCAAAGTTTTCAACACATTTAAACTACACTACTTCAACACTTATGTAATAAGCTAAACTAGATAAGTACCAACAATTCATAGTTCAAAAATTTATATGCATTCTTCGGTAAAATATTTAGACCAAATCTCACGAACCTCATCAATTTGCGCTTCTGAATAAGGCTTTCTATTAAAGAATAATTCCTACAAAAATTTAAAATAATCAAGTAATTAGTTTAACCATTACTAAAGTGTAATTTAAAACTATTTACTTTTAATAAATTTTACACACCATATCTAAATCATCAGAATCCCAACATTGAGTGCATATTTCATACATGAATCTCATCACATAATACCCGCACTCCACACCACCCGGTTGTTGAGGACACTAGAAAATATGTATATATATTAATATGTTAAACAATAAAAATATTAATATGAAATATGAAAGATATATATACCTCAATGTGAACCCAATCAACGTTGTTTTTAGGTCTTCTCCCTCCTAAAGTTTCAACCGATCGAAATGCCCTATAATATACAATCATAAATAATTTATAAACAATAGTGGTTAATAATTCTCAAAATATAAAATATATATATATATATATATATATATATATATATATATATATATATATATATATATATATATATATATATATATATATATATATATATATATATATATATATATATCTGTGTGTACTTACACATTCAATGTGGCCTTAATCGCAAACTCGCGATCACTTAATGCAATGGAGTCTAATACATAGACTTTTCTTAATCGAACAGAAATAACTAGAAGCATCCAATGATTCTTAAGGCATTTAAATAAATATGTTAAGTGTTATTCACAAATAATGCAATTAAGTTAAATAAATAATTAAAAATATAAATTTAGTTTTCTTACTTTTCATGATATGGAGCTAAAATGAAGTGTCGATTCGTCTGTTCAACCATGGCATTCACAAGATATTTTGTGACCTTATCAATATCTGCAAGTACAGAGGCAGCACAAATAGTCCTTGGGCAGAGGAATCCAATTGTATGAACTCCAATTTTGGAGCACATCCGACTAAGACATCTACAACATATATATAGATAATTAATAAAAATGAACGACTAAAGACAAGTTTTTAAATATAAAAACATTATAAAAAATACTTACATTATGAATATTTGTAATATGGTCACATCAAGCCATCGCATCGTCAACAAGTCTTTAATATCTTGAAACAGCACGTAAATGAAATCCACATCTTGATGATGGAAGATTGCCTCATCTAGATCCACGTTAATGTAATCTAAATCGAAAGGCAGGTTCTTAATAAGTCTTACCATTCTCTTAGATTCATCTCCCAATTGCTGCAGTGTATCATCATCAACAAGAAGTGGTCGTAATTGGACAGCAGATTGATCACCACTTTCAAAATTCATCATTCGGGTTTGTTTTGGATTTTCCTATGAATCAAAAGTAAAAGACATAATAACAATTAGATCGAATATCAAATATTCAAAATATTAAAGATATTCAATATTACCTTAAGTTTGTTGACTTGATCAATAGAATGACAACTGCTCCAAGTTGGTGTACCAACTTTTGGACTTGCTTGTGCATTCTTCATCAAATATTCCAGTTGGGATTGCATCAAATCAAACTTGGGCTGCATATCTTCCATTGTTTCTTTTCTAATCTTTTCAGCCACTTTGTCATATATTCTCTTCTCTATGATCTTCTCCATATCACTAACTGAAATAAGCCCAGCTGAATTTCCACGACTTATGCTCTCCGGTTTACCAAACACATCCCGAATATTGGAGTACACTCCAACACCTCTCACATAGCCACCGTGCTCATTGGTGCCAAGAACTGTTGTCAATACATCATTTTGCCTTTTGGGTTGGAATGAGCCTTGACTTATCTCTTCACACTTCTCAACCTATATTTCAACACAAAAAAAAAGATTTAAAATTTACATGTTAGCTAGTAATCTCGTCAATAATATATATATTTAAAGTATTTGTATTACTTACAATTTTATCCAACACTCCCTTCGTTTTTTCATTGGGAATGTAATAACTTCCATCTTCAGATTTTTTAGATCGCGCTCGAACCCAATCCAAACTACGATCAGTAGATGATATGGTCGAGGTAATAGCCGCACAAGAAGATTGTGAAGACAATGGGTCGCACATCAACCACTCAGACTGCTTTCCAACATAGCCCGTAGACCCTAAATAGTGAGGATGCACATTTCGCGCTTGCAACTCCCTATACTTTTGACTGTTGGCCTAAAAATAAAAGTTATTATTTAATAATATGTTAATAATAACCATGTTACATGATTATTAAGGATGTAAAGTATGTAATGTACCTTGGCAGCTTCACTTTCATGCGTGGTTACAAATTGCTCCCATTTTTTTTCATCCATGAACTTATATAACTCACAGGGAGAGCTATATTTTTTGTTCGGTTTGTTGATGAAGTCACGCACCAATCTTGTTTTGAAATCTTTCCAACGTATCCGTGCATGGACCAAAATATGACTTCTTCTTGACTCAGGGAGATTAAACTCTTTCTGAAAAACAACAATAAAATAAGAAATAATTAGGTCTTTATTGACATTAACATATATAAACTAATGAACTCAAAACTAAAATGAAATAATGATCAATATATAAATTAAATTATTGACTATTACCTTAAGTTCATCCCAGACTGCATCTTTAACCGCAGTTGGAACAAGACGCCAGTGTGGAATGTTTATGTCTATGTGAGTACGAACCATAAGGCCAAGGTAATTTGAGTACTTCCTTGCATTTGGCCCACAAGGCCTATTCTTCTCATCAAACTCAATTACCTTAGACTCATCCTCTGGTCTCTTCTTTAAGATTTTACTGCAAGTTGTAGCTCCTCTTGCTTTACGCACTTTGTTCTCTGTTCCCTTTGAAGATTCCTCCACCAAAGGATCTGTGTGATCGTCAGCCATGTATATATATACCTGCACATGCATAAGATAAATATGTTATAAAGAACATCTTATAAAATATAACCATGTTATTTGAATAATAATAAGATTACATTATAGAAATTATACTGTCGGGTGGTCAATCCACAACCCTTCTTCATGATCACTACGCATGTAATTAGTATCAATGTTATCTTCACATAAAGTCACATGTTGAATACCAATAGAAAATGGTGGGGTTTCATCAAATTGGTCATATTCCTCTTCATCAACAACATCACCAACACCAACAATACTTCTTTTGCCTTGTAAGACAATTAACCACTTACTATCAATAGGATCAGAAACATAGAAGACTTGTTTAGCTTGAGATGCAAGTATAAACGGTTCATCATGATATCCAAGCCGACCAAAATCAACTAAGGTAAAACCCAAATCATCTACACGGACACCCCGCCTGTTATCAACCCAAGAACATCGGAATAGAGGAATCCTAAACACCTTATAATCAAGTTCCCAGATTTCATCAATGACTCCATAGTATGACATAGTAGCATCTACCGGGTTAGTATCTTTAGCACTAGAATACTCTGTTGATTGTGCTACTAATGTCACTCCACTATTTTGCACTACACTTTTTTGATCTTGACATTTTGTGTAAAACGTATACCCATTAATATCATATCCCTCATAAGTGCTCACAACAAATCTAGGGCCAAACGATAACCATCTAATGGTTTCAGTGATATTATTTGGCACTTGAGATAACTCTTGCATCACTGTATCTTTGAACCATGTGATAAATGTAGAATTGTGTTCTTTTGTCACTCACATTTCACCTTTAGAAGGATTTTGTTGCCTTATAATAGACAAGTGTTGTTCCAAATATGGATGAACCTCAGAAAGCTGCTGCAGTACGAGATGATGTGCTTGATTTCTGATTATTTGACTTGGGACATGTGTTTTAAACCCAATGGTACCTTTTCCTGTGAGTCTTCCCTCATGACGTGATTTAGAAACACCAATGGACTGAACATTAGCCAAATAATCAGTACAGAACTCAATCACTTCTTCAGCACCATAAGCTTCAATTATACTCCCCTCTGGCCGATATCGATTTCTCACATATCCTTTCAAAATTCCCATGTATCTCTCAAATGGATACATATACCTCAAGAATACAGGACCACACATTTTAATTTCCCACACCAAGTGAACTGTTAAATGCACCATAACATCAAAAAATGATGGAGGGAAATACATTTCAAACTGGCATAAAGTTACTACCACATCAGCTTGCAAAGAATCCAACACCTCAGGATCAACAACTTTACTACTAATGACATTGGAAAAGTAGCAAAGCTTTGTAATTGCTTGTCTAACATGGTTAGGTAATATGCCTCTAATAGCAATAGGTAACATATGTTGCATTAGCACATGGCAATCATGTGATTTCATACCAACCAATTTAAGGTCCTTCATTGAAACAAGCTTTTTAATGTTAGATGAATAGCCAGAAGGAACCTTGACACCATTTAGACAGCTACAGAAACTTGTTTTTCCTTTTTAGACAGAGTATAACAAGCTGGAGGTAAGTATGCCCTCTTTCCAGATTCTTGTGCTGCTAATTGAGTCCTTATCCCCAAGTCTACCATATCTTTTCTAGCTTTAATACCATCTTTCGTCTTACCTTGAATATTCAATAATGTCCCGATAATGCTATCACAAATATTTTTCTCCACATGCATTACATCAAGACAATGTCGAACAGATAAGTGCTCCCAATATGGTAAATCCCACAATATAGACCTCTTTTTCCAAATACCCTTTTGACTTGTTTTTGAAGTTTTTCCCCACACATTATCAATGTTTTTCACTCGATCATAAACAACATCCCCTGATAATGGTAAGCGAGCAACTCCAGTCTCAGATTTTCCATTGAAAGCTTTTTTCCTCTTTCGATAAGGATGGTCAATAGGTAAAAAGGTTCGATGACTCATGAACACATTTTTCCTACTGTTGTTCAACCAAAGATCAACTGTTTCATCTTCACAAACAGGGCATGCCTTAGCCCCTTTAGTAGTATACCCTGACAAGTTACCATATGCTGGGAAGTCATTGATTGTGCAGAACAGCATGGCTCGTAAAGTGAAGTTGGTTTGACTATGAGCATCAAATACTGTCACACCTACATTCCACAACATCTTTAAATCTTCAATAAGCGGTGCCAAGTACACATCTATGTCGTTTCCTGGTTGTTTAGGACCAGATATTAGCAATGATAACATGATGTACTTGCGCTTCATACACAACCACGGAGGAAGATTTTAAACTGTTAAGAGAACTGGCCAAGTGCTATGGCGACTGCTCATGTTACCATGAGGGTTCATTCCATCCGTGCATAGTCCAAGCCTAAGATTTCGATTTTCAGCACCGAAATTAGGAAACTTCTTATTAATGTTCTTCCACTGAGGAGAATCGGCAGGATGTCTCAACTTTCCATCTTCTTTTCTCCCACTAGCATGCCATTGCAAATTCTTCGCATCCTTTGCATTTGCAAACAAACGTTTGAATCTTGGAATCACCGGTAGATACCACAACAACTTCGCTGGAGGACCTTTCTTCTGCTCACATGCATCATCGAGCCCTTTTCGTTTATAACGCGATGCTCCACACTTTGGACACACATGCAAGTTTTTGTTTTGATTCCAATACAAAATACAGTCGTTTGGACATGCATGGATCCTTTCAATCTCCATACTCAACGGACATAACATTTTCTTTGCCTCATAAGTTGAACTAGGAAGTTCATTCTCATTTGGAAGCATGCCCTTTAAAAGCTCTAATAACTCTGTGAAACTCTTATCACTCCACCTATGTTTTGCTTTTATGGTATACAATTTAAGCACTGCTGATAACTTTGTAAATTTACTACATCCAGAAAACAAAGGTTTTCCAGAACTCTCAAAAAAACTTTCAAACTCTTGAGGCATTTGATTCAAATCCCCTTGCATATCCCGCATCAATTCATCTAGCCGATCATTGTCTCCATCATTTCTAACATTATCTTCATTACTTTGATCTTTCTCTTGATTTTTTCTACATTCTCTTTGATTTGTACTGTTACTAGTAAGGACAGTTTCACCATGCCATATCCACCGGTCATATCCTATCTTAAAACCACGACATATCAAATGTTCCTTAATTTGTTCAGAACTACGAAACTTTTTTAGATTTCTACAATCATAACAAGGACACACTATATAATTTTCACCAATTTTACTTGCATATTCCTTGGCAATTTTAACAAACTCTTGAACCCCATGAACATATTCAAGTGTATTGCGTTTTTTATACATCCAACTCCGATCCATATCTCCTATATATTGTCACACAACATTTAAGAAATGATAAATGAGTTAGTTTCTTAAGTTATAACTTAAAGGTTCAAATTAAAGCTTTAACTAAATTTATCAACAATACCTAACATATACAATAATACACAACAAATTTGTCAACAATGTCTAACTTATACAATAATACACAACAAATTTGTAAATACAATAAACAAATAATACAATAATTAATGATTTACGAATACATCAAATGCAATGTAGGTAATTTTCTTCCACCAATGCTACAATAACCTTTGATCCACAACTACTAAAATAACTTTTAATATTTTAACCAAGTAACAACATTATCCAAATTAAAACATTTATAAAATTATACGGTAAATGTGCAATCTCTATAAACAAATAATACAAATAACACAACAAATTTGTATATACAACAATAACAAATAATACACAATAAACAACAATAACAAATAATACACAATAAACAACAATAACAAATATACAATAATACACAATAAACAACAATAACAAATAACAAAAAAAAAATTTAAAATAATTAATGATTTTCGAAAAAAAAAATTAACAAACTCACCTTACCTCGATCTGCCGGCGTTCGTAGCAGCGACGGTGGTGGTGGGGGATGTAGCAGCGGCGACCGGCGTCCGGCGTTCGTAGCAGCGGCGGTGGTGGCGTGCGATGTAGCAGCGGCGACGGGCGGTGGTTGGCGTGGTAGCAGCAGCGGAGACCGGCGGTGCTTGGCATGCGAGCAGCAGCGACGACCGGAGGACGATGAACGGCGGGTGTGAGCAGCACCGGCGAGCGAATTGAAGGACGGAGACCGGACGGAGGACGGAGAGCGGACGGAGGAAGGAGACGGAGAGGTCTGATTTGCGGGGTTAGGGCGGAGAGCGGGCTGAACTGGATTTGGGGATAGATTAGAAAATTAATTCGCGTCCAAAGTTGCCAATTTTGGACGCGAATTATATCCGCATTAAGTCATAAGCGTCCAAAGTTGGCAACTTTGGACGCTGGTGTAGCAAAAATAAGATGTGAGCTCAGGTGTGTTATGTCGTCCTCAGGGGATTGGGGGCTATGGCACGCAAT